AAGCATTTCTTGAATTGCTTTAACTTTATCAGGATCAACTTCAATTCCTTTTTTTGATGACAATGAAACCTAGCAACTTTCCTAATCGAACACCAAAAGTACACTTATTTAGATTCAAGAGGAGACGATACTTCCTTAAGCGCTGAAGCAATTTTAACACGTCTTCCATATGCCCTTCCTCAGTCTGATATTTTGCGATCATATCATCAACATATACTTCAATTTCCTTATGCATCATATCATGGAATAGGATTGCCATAGCCCTCTAGTATGTTTCACCAGCGTTCTTCGACCCGAAAGGCATCACTCTGTAATAGAATGTTCCCCAGGGTGTGATAAACGTTGTTTTTTCCATATCCTCAGGAGCCATCCTAATTTGATTGTATCTGGAAAATCCGTCCATGATCGATAACACTTTGATTTTATTGTGATATCAACCAACATATCAATATGGGGTAATGGTAAATCATCTTTTAGACTTGCTTTATTTAAATATCTATAATCAACCCACATGCATACTTTTCTGTCTTTCTTTGGTACTGGAACAATATTGGAAATCCTTTGAGGATACACTGGTGTCACAAGAAAACCAACATCAATCTTCTTAAAAACCTTTTCTTTAATCTTCATTTCCATGTCAGGATGAGTGTTTCGTAGCTTCTGCTTGATTGGTGGACATGTTGGCTTTAGCGGAAAATAATGTTCCACAATATCAGTGTCCAAACCAGGCATGTATTGGTAAGACCAAACAAAGATATCCACATGCTCTTTCAGCAACTCAATCAACCTGCTCTTTACATCAGGATGAAGTAGTGCCCCAATCTTGACTTCTTTCAAATCTTCTTCTGAACTCAAGTTAATCGTCTCCAATGGCTCTTTATACGGTTGAATGGTATTTTCCTCGTGCTCAAGCAACCGTGAAACCTCTTTTGGAATTTTATCATATTCTTCTTCTTTAGCCACATACACAGGATATTCAAAGCTGGAAGAGGGTGCAGGGTCATTGTACTCAACGAGTTTTTTAATTAATTTGCACATATGATTTTTGAATGATTTTAGAAACGGACACATATAACAAGTGATTATGAAAATTTATTTACAGTTATTACTTATTTCGAAAGGTTTTTTCTGATTACCATTTTCCAATAAAAAACAAAAAATAAAGACACAATTTTAGAAATCAAAAACAACATTTATTAATGATCTTAAAATTCAAAACAAAAGACACGCCCATACAACATCACTTTCACCTTGGGAAGAGTGAAAGACTTTTGAAAAGATAAAAAACAAATTACTTTGAAATGTGAATGCAAGAAGTAACATCAACAATGGTCTAATTATGGATTATGACTCCATGTATCACAAAGTTCGACATCTCTTACTCTGGCTCATCTTCGTGAATAGCGTTGAACTTTGGAGTAGTCAAATGGAGATATCCTGCATTGTGAAATATTTCTTGATATTTACTCAAATCGGACTTCGGCTTCATAACTTCATTCTTCATGGAGAAACCCAAACCAATCCCATTCTTGTCCACGGGTGGATTAATAACCTGCCCCCACACCATGCTAGGGTCCTTCAGCTCTACCTATTGTGCATACTTAAATGAGGTGATAGAATCTTCATTCTTCCTTATATTATCAATAGACAAATCTTGGAACTGAGTTCCGACAGTAACTTTATCATCTTCTACAATGCTAAAGGAAGACAAATGAGAAATCAACAAAGCTTTCTCACTGTTCACAATAACTACTTTTCCTTCACTGATAAATTTCAGTTTTTGATGCAAGGTTGAAGTAACAACTCGTGCTTCATGTATCCAGGGTTGTCCCAATAAACAGCTATAGGCTGGGACAATATCCATAACCAGAAAGGTGATTTGGAATAAGTGTAGACCTATGTGAATAGGTAAATCCACCTATCCAATGACAGATTTTCTCGAACCATCAAAAGCTTTTACTATATTGCCACTAGGGAACATAGGAGTACCCTGGTATTTGAGCTTCATGAGAGTTCTTCTTGGTATGACATTTAAAGAGGATACATTATCTATCATCACATTGGACAAATAGTCATTCTTACAATTCATAGATACATGCAGAGCTAGGTTATGGTTTCTCCCTTCATCGGGTAATTCTTCATCAGAAAAACTTAAATTGTTACAAGAAGCAATATTCCACACAACACTTCTAAACTAATCCAGAGACACATCCCTTTCAATAAAATCCTGATCCAACACCCTCATCAGAGATTCTCGATGAGCAAAAGAGTTCATCAATAAGGCTAAAATGGAAATCTTAGATGGAGTTTGCAACAATTGATCCACAATCTTGTAATCACTCACCTTGATGATTTTTAACAGATCATCAATATCCTTTTCCAAGGAAGTGCCACTAGATTCTCCTACCACTTTCTTAGGTTCAACATTCTCAACAAAATTCTTACCAGAATTAACATCTCCTCGAAAGGTAGGCGCGAAGACACGACCACTACGAGTTACGCGACTAGCTTCAGCAATATTCTTAACATGGGACAAAGGACGCATAGGAATTTCCACACCATCTTCCAGGATAGTTTCATTGTACTTATAAGGCACAACATTATCTGATTCATATGGATAGGACAAGGCAGAAAAATAACCAAGGGAGAAACAATAGGAATGTTGTGGTACACAATCTCTACAGAAGCGGTAACACCAAAATATGGAACAATGACATTCACCCCTACTTCTTCGGAATACTTAGATCATAGAATCTTTGTCAGATAAAACACCCCCATTCACAGACTCTGACTCATCAGAAGAAAAAAATTCATCAGCAGAAACATACTCATCATCATAGTCTTCAATCACAGTAATATATTCATACTCAGCCCTTGGTCTCATTATATGGATAAGACCTCCATCCATTATATCTTGAAGATCACCTCTCACCTTATCACATCCATGAACGTTTGTACTACAAACACTACAAGCGGCATGGTCATGTGTATAATAGTTGAACTCACAAAGATTAGCATGCATCTTTACTAAATCACCTCTAACCAGGTCGATATCAAAAATCCTAAAGTCCCCAGGACAACCAACAACCATATTCATAGTACCTCCACCTCCATGCTTGGGTATTGGATTAGCCTTCACATTGGGACCAATATCTTTAAAAGACAAGAGACCATGTCTTACCATCTTCTGCACTTCAGACTTCAATGAATAATAGTTTTCAATGTTGTTCCAAGGGGTTCCTTGATGAAAAGCACAAGTCTGATCAGCTTTATAATACCATGTCAAAGTTGGAGGTATAGTAGGGGGATACCTAGTCTACACCAGATTCTTTTAAATTAAAGTCGGTAATAACTTTGCATAACTCATTGGGATATGATCAAAAGCTTATCTATTCTAACTTTCCCCTTGATTATCTTGTTGAGATTCTCCCTGATAGGCAACAATAGTCAGAGTTGCATTGACGACTGGAGTTACTGAAGCAACCTGTTGTTGATGCTGATGATGTTTTGTCGGAGGTCTAACCCTTCTTTCTTGAACAATAACATTTATGTATCCTTCTTTATTTTTAGAAAACCCATATAATGATTTTTTGTTCCACTAGAACCTTCATATTTTGACAATCATCCTTCCCTGACGGCTTCCTCTAGACGGACACCCATACTTACCATCATAGTGAATTCACTTGGTGCTCTTGCAACCATTTTTTCATAGTAAAATGAACCAATGGTTTTTAGGAAGACCTTAGTCATTTCTTGCACTCCCATTTGGTGTACCACTTGGGCAGCAACCTCGCGCTAACGCTGAACATACTCTTTAAATGATTCCTTATCTTTCTAAACCATCGCTCTCAGTTGGTCACAGTCAGGTTCCATAAACATGTTGTACTTATACAGTTTCATGAAAGCTTTACCCAAGTCATTGAATGTATGGATGTTTCTACTGTCCAATCCTATACACCATTTCAAGGCAGCGCCAGTAAAACTATCTTGGAAGAAATGAATAAGTAAATGTTGGTCATTGTCATACCCTATTTTCTACCCACAATCTGTTTATTTATAACATCATATGCATTTACATTATAAATCATTCATTCGTTGGAGCTCCAAAAGCATGGGATCCAAGGGCTCTTGACATTAGGGTTTTTCCCTATGGATTGAGGTTGCTACTTCATTCATGATTGGTTTAACTGGTCCTCTCATCACTCTTGGTATGGAACTAGGGATTTTTAGATCACATGCATCATAGACATTCTCCTTGATAAGATTCCTCAAGATACAAGGGTGTTTTCATCCAAAATTTATTCAAAGAACATGTGCTTTAAGGTTTAACTTGTATGCTTAAAATTTCATCATGTCCTCGTTGAGAATGTCCTTGAGCCAGGGTTTTGTTCCTCAACATCTCAAGTCACTTCTTCACCTATGTTCATTTAATACCCAGAGAATTAGGGTTTCTTCTATTTTGTGCTTGGACATTAGTATTGGTTATTCAATAATAGTTCGTTGAGCTAGGTTTCTCCTCAAGGCTACCAGTGACCATCATTTAGGGTTTCTCTTAATTATTTACCCTAAAAGTCAAGCTCTTTTAAAAAGAAGTTTAGAGAATTGAATCGTGTTTCTCTTCTTTTGATAATTCTCATATGGTTAAGGATTGGTTTAATATTTCATCAAATCAATATGTTTCTTGTTGTTTACGTTATGAATTAAGATCTCACCAAAATTTTCAATGGGATTTATGGTCCTATTTGAATTTGTGATTCAACTGAAGATTCAGATTCATTTACTAAGATGGCACAAAAGATTAGTTTTTGAATTCTTTTTGAACAAGGTCATGTTTCATATTCAATTACTCATTGCTTGCAATTTGATTTGGCTTCATTCAAGGTGGCAAGGCATAAATCAAATTTCTACATTCAAGGTTTCACGCTCAAAGATTCAAAGTTTGTTCCATCCCAAACTCAATTTCTAAATGTATATTTAATTAATCTAAAATCATTTTCAAAATGTTGCATCAAATGTCTCATAGAAAACCAAATTGGTATTAATACAGTTCAGCCAATTCACTTACACTCATCATCACTCAATGCTCATCAAATTACATCAAAGTTCATTAAGCATCCAATTCACTCAATCTCATCATCACTCAATGCTCATCAAATTACATCAAAGTTCATTAAGCATAACCATTATAATATAGAAAAATGTGTAAAATTTACACCAAGTGTTCTACATGACCCCCTCTATCTTAATTAGTCTTCATGCTTCCATATCCCAATCTTCCTCCAATCTCCATATCCAAACTTCAAGACTTTTGTGCTCCTGTTGCAACCCTGTTTCAAAACCAGTTTACCACCACTGGTTTACATTGGTTCAAGAAGAAGAAATCTAGCCGAAAAAAGTAACTGTCATGCTGTCAACGACCTCACATGAATCGATTCCAAATTTGTTTAAAACCTCTCCAATATGGATTAAACATAAATATGCCTTACTGTCCAAATTAAAGAAAAAGTGGTCCTGCACCAATATGAATAGCCAGCAGACAATCCAAAAGAAAAACTTTTTTTAATCAGGAAAGGATGGAAAAGAAAGTCAGGAAATATTTCGATAATTATCAGAACACAAATAAAAATCCACTTAATCAAAAATCAAAAGAAAAGCTTCTTTAACAAGCTTCAATCAGAGTTGATCCTAACCTTAGAATATTGTTACAGAATTTCAAAATACAAGGGACAAGATTGCTCTTACCTGTAATAAACTTCTCTGATAAGTCAAGCTAACTGCTATATAATAGGCTTCAATCTTTATTGAGAGGGGAGAGGATTTTTGCCTTTTGAAACTTCTCAGAGAAGCGTCAGAGTTCTCTCTGAAATTCTCTGAGGCATCAACGATTTCACTTTTGCAAAAGCTTCTCAGAGAAGCTTAAGAGTTCTCTCTGAAATTCTCGGAGTCTTCAACAATTTCACTTCTGCAAAAGCTTCTCAGAGAAGCTTCAGAGTTCTCTCTGAGGCTTCAACGGTTCATTATGCACTTTTCTCAAAAAAATTCTTCTAAAAAACTCTCTCTCTCTCTCTCTCTCTCTCTCTCTCTCTCTCTCTCTCTCAAACTGATCCATCTTCATCACTGCTTCCTCAATATTCATCTACAACAAGCAACATTTTATCACTGCACCAATCATTTTCACAAAGAAAATAATTCATTTACAAAAATTATGAGTTTGGAAAATTGATCCTCTCTCATTTTTCTCTGAAAATTTCATAAAGTTCCCCTAAACTCTCTCTATATCGCATCAAGAACAACGACAATTTGCTTCATCTCACATCAACAACAACAAAACAGCAAACGCAAAATGCAAATGAAGAGAAATTATATTCGAGAGAGAGAAATATACGCATAAATGAGCAGTTGATCTCTATTTTTCTTTTCATTTTCATCAAGCTTGAAGAGCCACCGGAGTTCTCCGGTAGGTAAGCCTTACATTACTTATTGTTCTGCATCCCTGTGTATGTAAATCGGTAGCATATAGTGTTGTTGTTCACTTCTATTTCGGATTTCATCACGAATGAACTGAAATGTATTGGTTGTTGAACGCGGCAGTTAGAAATAGGATGTGAATGAGAGAAGGACGTGAAGCTGATGAAGTAGAAAATGAACCGTGATGATTAGAAGTCAAAACTGCGACGCTGAGCGAAGGCGGAGTCGAAGAGTATTGAGTGAGCATCGATTGAGTTGAGTAAATCAAAGAAGAGCGTCAGAAGGAGGAGAAATTGAAGAGGATGAATAATGGAAGATGTTTGAGTTGGTTTCACGGTGGCGCTATGTCGGACGATCCACTAAAGAAGATGAAGGGAATCAAACGACGCCTTCGCAATTTTGGAAGGTGAAGAACATTCTAAACCCTAAGTACTATACGCAACATTTCTACTTCCGTATTTATTTTAATTTTTTTAATTTATAATCATAATTTAATTTGGATAAAACCTTTAGTTTTTGGATCAAATTTCGCTGGACCTGGAAACTGGTCTTTCTTCCTGAGCCTGTTAGCATTTTTTTGGAGTCTATTAGCCAAGTGCAACAAAACCTCCTACTTGAAAGACTTTGATGGGCCGGACCTTATTACCAAGGCCTGTTACATGTTTTTTTTAGCTTACAGCATTAGAACAACAATTGCTTCCTAGATCTATCTGAATGGGCCTTAGCGCCATTTTCTAACCAAACCTTTGGTTCTGATTTCACACCTCCCTCTATTTTCTCATTATTTTAATATTTCTCTTCCATTTTTAATTGTTGTAGTTTTAATTTCTTTTATTGATTTTAGGTATTAAAAAAATAATAAAAAAGGATACTTAAAAAAAATGCTTTAGTTTTTTTTAGAAGTTGTTGTACCCCAATTTTTGCCCATAAGATCCCTTCATCATACCATATTGTTTCAATCACCATAAAATCACATTAGGGCTTTGGGTTCTTCTCCCTATCTTTAGCCTTGCTCTTTGAGGAGTTACCAAGCACCTTGACTTGTTTTCTTTGGTGATCATGGATATTTTGCTTTGATTTTCTCTTTAAATTAACAAAATAAAATATTGGTTTGTCTTACTTGTTAATAATGTAGGTAATGGCAATGAGGTTTAGCAAGTTGCATCATGGGTTCATGAGTTTATTTCCATGCCCTAGTCAAAGTCTTGAGAGATTCAAACCTCAACATTGAAGTTGTTTTGAAGTTGGTATGGAAGTAGTTTTGGTGGCCATGAGTCCTCATCATCATCCTCAACAAATTATATTCACAAAGGGAGAAAATTGGCACAAAAATTTTGTTCAAACTTGGCAAAGTTCCACTAAGCATTCTCTTGATCTAGAGGCTAGGGTTTTGGACTTCAGAGGGGCATATCTTGCTCATCTTTTGGTATTTTTGAGTGATTCCAAAAACATTCTTCTCTTCAAAGAGTTACCAACAAATCACTTCAAAAGTTCCAAGGATTTTTCGTGTGGAAGGAACTTGGTGAAGAAGAAAGATTACAAGTCATCTAGATGAATCCCTCATTTTCCATATGTGACTTCAAATGGTCATAACTTGGTCAATTTTTATCACCTTGATACCATTCTTTTTTAATGATGACCCTAAGGATATGTACTTCATACCTTCTTTTATGTGGAAAGTAAGAAAATGGATGGAAGTTCCCTTAAGAATGCAAGAGATTATAGGTCATTTCATGATTTTTGGCCAACTTCAACAAGTCATAACTTTCTCAATTTTTGGATATTTTGAGTGGTTCAAATTGAAAAATGTCATTAAAGAGATCTACTTCATTCCATCTTTTTTGGTCAAGAGCAAATTATAAATGGAAGGCCATGTTTGGATGCAAGAGATTATAGGTCATTTTTAAAGAAGAATTTGAAATATTTCTAAGTATGGAAAGTCAACTCTTTTTCTTCAACTTTGACTCCATGTAATTTTCATATCAAGCATCCATTTGATTCCATTCTTTTTCCATTGCAAAGATTTTTACCTCATCTTTCCAAAGCATCAAGAATTTTCCCCAAGACCCCCTGAGGTGGAAATGCCATTAGATTGAACATGGTAACTTGGAACTGAAGTTTCACCATAAGTCAGAATTTAAAATCCATGTTTTGGCCTTTAAACATCAAATTAGCACGTGTTTGTGATCTAAACATGTTTAACCAAGTTGTCAAAGTAGATTAGAGCCTTGAAACGCAAGGGTTTGATGAGTTTTGATGCAAATCTGATCACACTTTGCTCGTGCATCAGGATCACACGATTTTCCTCCAATTTTCATCATTCCACACGCTTGAACATTCCATTTGATTCCCTATAAATAGAGGGTCATCACCCATTCAATTTTCCAAGCTTAGATAGCCATAATCACTCTGCCAAACTTGCTTCACAACTCAGAATTCAGCTACTTCAAATCCTATACTCAAGCCTTTTTCAATCCATTTTTTTCATCAATTCACCTTCCTTGATCTTCCCTAAAGCTAACCATATAATCACATTCAAGAATCGTGCCCTATATTGCTCCATAGAAGTCCAGTTTCGAAGCTCTACAACTCAACTTCAATAGGTAGATTCCTTCATCAATTCTTTAAAACATTGGTATCATTTTGTTGCTCTCATTGCCCTGGTTCTAGTTGCAACACTTACTTTTATCTGGAAGCACGTTTTGACCATGAATTTTCAAATCCCTTTTCAAAACTTTTTTTCCAAATTGCTTGAGTTACAATTTATATAAATTTGGCGCGAGGGTGTGGTTGTCTTCGTCTTGAAGAGACGAAGTGAATGGCATAGGTCTGAGCTTCTGATTTTACAGTTTGAGAGTCCTGCAATTCGTGAAGGCTGGAGGTTGAAGATGACAAACGTGTCATCCTCTAACCAATGAAAGCGTGACATTTGTTATTTTGAAATTCTGATTTTATTAATGATTATGTACGTTATTCATTAAAGACCATGATATGCACAGCGCGTCAGATCCTTTGGATTTGATTACTAACGTGTTTTAACTCTCATCCAATGGTCCACATCTTTTTCTTTTATTTTCTTTTTCTGGTTTTTATATTTTAATTGTTTTAAATTTCAAAAAATCATAGAAAATTCATTTTTAGTCCAAAAAATCTAAATAATTTATGAACAATATTTTTGATTATTCTCTTTCTGATTTTTATTTTTTCACAATTTAATTTTGTGTTTTGATGTTTTTTATGAATTTTACACTTATTTGATTTGTTTAAAATGTTTAAATATACTTTTACACATTTTTAAATTCTGAAAAAATTATGGAATGATCCAATGATATTGTGACAAATATTGGTGACCTTATTTTATTTTTGTTTCTGACTTTACTATTTTACCCATTTATTTTAATTTTTAAAAATAGTTTGACTTTTAAAAATTCCCAAAATTTTTGTAAAATTACTTGGCCTCTTTTCTGATTTTTCTATGGTCTTATTTTTCATTTCTTGATTAATTTGAATATAATTGGAATTTTCTTCATTATTTTCCATTTTTTAAAAACATTTTTAAACCTTTTAATGAACATATTAATTATATTATTATTTTGTGAATATTTTCTGGCTGTCTTGGGTTGATTTTTTGGTCATGGCTTTATTAACTTCATTGGATCCATGGTGTTGGGTTTAACTCCACAAAAAATGGATGAATGATTTTAATAATAGTTTGATTAAATATTAATTCAAATGTGGTTTTTCTTTTTACCCTAATTCCTCTCCATCTCATCCCCTTCTTATTGCACTAAATGTTATTAGAGCATGATCTCTATATCATATCTCAAAATAAATGGTGCATAGATTGCTATTGACCAGCCTCAAAATAGGCGCGACTTCTATATAAGTCCACTTACGATTACTTAACATAGCGCTAAATTTTGTCCTGATTCGAATAAATGATCATTCGTGGCCCAAACTTATGATTGCAAGCCCAAGTATGTTAATTTGATCTCTTTGATCCAATAACTTTGAGATTCATTGTGTGGAGGCTTTCGTTCTACCAATCCTCTAATGGATCTACAACACCTTTGGTCAACGTGGATCACTTAAACATCGTTGATCATTAAATGGTACTTGTGAGAATTCCAAATGGATGATATACTTGACAAAAAGCAAATGCAACTTGTTGTGTGGAGGCTTTGGTTCTACCAATCCTCTAATGAGTTCCAAATGCAAGTTTCAAGATGGTCATCCAACTAACCACTAATTATTGACTTGTTTTATTTTATGCTTTATGGACTATTTATTTTTTAGCATTTTACATTTCATGCCATTTTCATCTTTGCTCATTTGAGCATTTATTTTCTTGTTATTTTTACTTTGCTCACTTGAGCTTTTCTTTTTCCTTTTTCTAAAATACTTAATAACCAACTTAAACCCTAAAAAACTCTTAATGGTACTTGGACTATTTGGTTACTATCCTTGGCATGATGGAGCAGTAGACTTTTTTTTGGACTTAGGATTAGAAACTTTGGCCTATCTTGGATACCTTGTGATCTTATCTGATTATTTTTTCTCGAGCTCTTGAGGTTTACCTCAAGACATTGGGTTGTTTGTTTTTTGTGTGTGCAGGTTTTTGTGATTACACTCTTTGTTTGTAATCTGGAATTCACCCGCATACAGTCGTTACTCTGCCTAATTTTTGTGAAGACTTAATACATTTGAAGAGGTCTAGTATCTTTGCTTGCTTGGTTTCACTCCAAAGAATGAGAATTCTATCTTGGCTCATAATGTCAAGTTTTGGCTTCTTGTTGGTTAGATGGTCCTTATCCTTAGCTTTTACCTTATGCTTTAGGATAGCCTCTTCTTCTCCTCCCATCTTCTTTAATTTCAAAAATCTTCTCCCTCCTTTTGAAAACCCTTCTTGTTTTTAAACTTAAAAACTTTCATAATAAATTTGGGCTTATGTCCATGCATTTTCAAAAAAATATTTTCATAAATAAACTTAAATCAATTTAATAATACCTTGACAGTTTTTTTTGTGAAAAGACTAAAAGTCAATCAATCTCATTTCAAATCATTTTTCCACTTTGGTTTTTACCTTTAAACTTTTCTTAAAAGATTAGGCTCTAGTCAATCCTTGTAGTGATGCAAACAACTATACTTCTACAATATGTAGTGAAGTGACATATTTTCCACTTAGGTGTTGAGTGAGGCATTGTTGATTTGAAAATCCAAACCATATCCTCCACTTTGAGATGATGCAAATTCTCCTTTCTCATGATTGTGGGTAGTAAGTATATTTTCCACATGGACAATGACGATGACGTCTTATCTCATAAAATTAACCAACACACTCATGTTTCAAATTTTTAAAATAGGAACTACGTGTACCCTGATCCCCTATTGCACGAAAGGTGGTACGTAGGCACTAAAGGTTCGCAACAGCGGCGTGTGAAAAAATCATAAAAAATACTTCTTTTCTCACCTCCACTATCCATTTTATATGCAACACATTTTTATATCCAAAATATACAGATTTTACAAAGAGGTTCCTGCGGAGTACCGTAGATGTTTAGGGTGCTAATACCTTCCCTTTGCATAACCAACCCCTTACCTTGAATCTTTCCACCCTCTTTTTAGGTTATTCGCTCTTTTCCCATTCCTTTGGAAACAATAAACCACGGTGGCGATTTTTATTTTGATTTGTATAAAGTCTAGTCAGTCCAATGGCTTAGTCTTGAACATATGTACCGCTACAGAAAAATGGCGACTTCACTGGGGATAGATTGACCTCTTGCTGGTCCATCCCTAAGTGGGTTAAGTCTATCTTTGTTTATATCTGTATATGTGATATTGTTGTTTATGTGTTATATTTTGTATATATGTTTGTCTGGATTTTCCTGGTTTTCAGGGTGCTTGGTGATTACTCATAAGTCCTATACCCGGAATTGGGCAAACTTTAAGATAGGACGGGCGGTATAGTCATGTTAACTTTGAGGGAGTAATCCCAAAAAAGGAGGCATGATAACCCCCACTCAGTGGAGTCCCCTTTGAATATAGTGTCGTTTACCGAGTAATCGGGAAGACGTACTGCTTTCGACCTGGGAGCCTGCTGAAACTGAGGACCGTAGAATACCAAACCCATCTTGGACTTTTAGGTGTAGTGCGGAAGCTATGAAGGAGTAATCCGGAAATAGTTTTCATGCGATACTACACTCGGACGAGTCTTTCTTGAGAATATTACAAACTACCGAGTTAATCGAGAAGTTGGTAATATCCAAATGAAGGATGTAGACTTTGGGAACCTCTAGAACCTTGTTCAGCAAGTGATAACTTTTTAGACCAACACCTTATGGGTAGTACCTTCGACCTCATGCTCGTGACGTTGAACCTATGAACCTTATATGTGTGATCTTGTGTGTGATTGCTGCATCATGCATCCATGCACTTATAAGCATCTTTTGAAGAAAATAATATTTCAAGGGATTTAAAGGTTGACTATTCGTGAATATCTCAGGTACTGTTAACCATGGATTCTAGAAAGAGAATGACCGAGAAATACAGTTTCAAGGATCCCAAGATAGATAAGTTGGTCAGTCTAATTCCAGAGATTGAGTGTCCTACAGACTTTTGGAAGAAGTATGGATCCATCATTCCTCTCATGAAGCTGAATATGAAGGAGGGTATTCTCTCGACCTTGGTCCAGTTCTATGATCCGATGTATCATTGCTTTAATTTTCCCGATTATCAGTTGATGCCTACACTGGAGGAGTATTCTTATCTATTGGATTTACCTGTTACTGGTCGTATTCCTTTTACTGGTTCGGAGGGCGAGCCAAAACCACATGAGATTGCTGCTTTGATTCATCTGGGGAAGTCTGAGGTGGAAGCCCATATGACTACTAAAGGAGGGATTAGAGGATTACCAGCTCAGTTCTTATTGGATAAAGCTCTTTACTTTTCCAGAATGAAGAGTACGGTTGCTTTTGAGGCCATCTTTGTTTTACTTGCTTATGTATTATTCTTATTTCCTAATGTGGACAAGTTGTCGACATTAACGCTATCATGATTTTCATGATTGGAAACCCAGTTCCTACACTGTTGGGTGATGCTTATTACTCTGTTCATCTTCGGAGTTCTTATCATGGGGGAATGATTATCTATTGCACGCCTTTGTTGTACCGGTGGTTCATTTCTCATATGCCTCAGTCTGATGCTTTTTGGGATGTCAATAAGGAACCTCGTTGGGCTCCTAAGATCATGGCACTTACTCACTCGGATATTGATTGGTATCATCGAGCTTCACATGATGTAGAGATTATTGAAAGTTGTGGTAGTTTCCCCAATGTACCTCTTCTTGGTACTAAGGGAGGAATTAACTATAACCCTGTTCTTGCACGGTGACAACTTGGTTATCCGATGAGGGATAAACCAAACAGTATTCATTTGAGTAGTTTCTTTCTGAAGGAAGGAGAAGACCACAAGGAAGCTAGGGAGCAGATTGTGAAGGCCTGGCGTCACATTCATAAGAAAGTAGGAATGATTTTGGACCTAGGGGTGATGTTTCTTTGGAGCCATATCTTCAGTGGGTCCGATCGAGAGCCATCCAGTTGAAGATGCCGTATACTCGGGAGACACCCATGCCTGATCTGTTTGTGAAGACCACTCCTCCATTATGAGATGATCTAGAAGAGTTGCAGCTTTCTTTAGTTAGGATGCAACAGGAAAGAGATGCTTGGAAGAACAAGTTCCAGACTTTAAAGAGTTCCTACAAAGCAGACTTGAAGGAGAAAGATGATTTGATCGAGATCCTTGAGAGTCGAGCAATATAGTCTATGGAGAGGCAAGGGGATTTATTTTCTCCTAAGCCTCAAACAGGTGTTGATTGCTCATTTCCTGATCCGAATGATTGGAAGGAGGTTACCATCAGACATGTGGAAGAAAACCAGAGGTTGAGAGCTCAGATTGCCAGGCTCACAGGGAAGCGCCAGCGTACAGATTGATCTCTATAAGTTTCTTTCTCTCAGGATTTTTAGATTGTATTTTCATCTTGTACTTGGGACCATTGAAACTTGTAATCCATTTTTGAAGTTATTATAATAAAAGTTTTTCAGTATTTCAAATGTGTTATTATTTTGATGTTTGCAATATGTCTATAAACTTTAAATCCCTTGAAATATTAAATTATAAAGTAAAAATAATCATATGCATTGCACATCATGCATCATATTGCACATATTTCTTGCATTTATTATGCATATCCAGGTGCCTTACCCAGATTTTTGCCTCGTTCAGCAAGCTGACTCATCACTACAACACTCGGGCTAACTTCAAAAAGAAGATGGACAACTTGGAACAGGAGAATCACGAGCTACGCGAAGAAGTTTATGCTTTGAAGGCTGGCTTGGCCAATTTGACTACTCTGATGGAAGCTCTGGTGGTTGTCAGAATCAGCTACCGAGTGTTCAACCTCAACCAACAAGGGCAAGTGCTGAAGTTCCTGCTGTTCTTGTATCTACTACTCCGACTGTTGTTCAAAACTGTATGCCTCAGGGTTATCCGTGGGGAATGCTGGAGAATTTTGTACCTGAAGGTTTCAATTTGGGCCCCCAAGATGCTCCAGTAGTTCCAAATGTTGTTACTTCAGCACCTCCTGTGGTGCATGTTGTTCCTGTTGCACCTTCTTCGGTGAATTTGGTTTCGTTTGTTAATGAAGATGTATGTCATCCTTTCCCTCCGTCGAGTGAAGACTTGGGTCTTTATGACAAAATGGATGATTTCCAAGAGCGGTTTGATAGAATGCAAAGAGAGATGAAGGCTCTTAGGGGAAAATAGTTATTTGGGCAGAATGTGAATGAGATGTGTTTGGTCTCGAATGTCAAAGTACCTACTAAGTTCAAGGTCCTGGATTTTGAGAAGTACAAAGGCAACACTTTGCCTCGTGCTCACTTGGTGATGTATGTAAGGAGAATGTCTACCCACACCAATGATCAGCATCTATTGATTCACTTTTTCCAGGATAGTCTGATCGGCGCAGCGTTGAAATGGTACATGAGTTTAGACAACGCCAACATCCACACCTTTAATGATTTGGGAGAAGCATTCTTAAAACAATACAAGTACAATATGGACATAGCGCCCGATCATGACCAACTTAGAGCCATGGTTCAGAAAGATAGAGAATCGTTCAAAGAGTATGCACAGAGATGGCGTGAAGTGGCTGCACAAGTGATTCCTCCCATGGAGGAGAAGGAAATGACTAAAAAATTTCTGAAGACGCTAGGCGCTTTCTACTACGAAAGAATGGTAGCAAGTGCCCCAAGTGATTTTACAGAGATGGTAGGAATGGGTGTCCTCCTAGAATAGGCAGTAAGAGAAGGCCATTTGGAAAAGGGTGAAGGATCCAGAGGTGTGAAAAAGCCAGCTTATGGGTTCACAAAGAAGAAAGAGGGGGATACAAATGTTGTCATACAAGAGAGGAGAATAAATGCTCCTAGAAGGAATTATCAGCATCACCAGCAAGTTGCTTCAGTGACTCCTGTTATGAATGCCGCTCCAACTACCGTTACTTATCAAAGACAGTCCAAGCAGGGGAACCAAGGGAATAATCAGAGAAGGGAGAACTATGACCATATACCCATGAGTCATGCAGAGCTACTACCAGCATTGATTCAGAAGAAGTTGGTCCAGACACGACCACCACCAGCAGTACCATCACCATTGCCTTGGTATTACACAGCAGACCAGACGTGTGCCTTTCATCAGGGAGCACCAGGGCATAGTGTTGAAAATATTTATCCTTTGAGGACTGAAGTGAAAAGGTTGGTGAAGTCTGGAATTTTATCTTTCAAAGACATGAGACCTAATGTAAAAGAAAATCCTCTACCCAAGCACGGGGGAGTGAATGCTGTGAATATGGTGGCCGGTTGTCCAGGTGACTTCCAGATTTTTGACATTAATTTGGTTAGAGGGGATTTGGTAAAGAAGCATGCAGACCTCTGTGAATTCAGTTATTATACGTATGACCACACTGGTTGTGCTATTTGCAGTACAAACATACAGGGTTGCGAGAAGATAAAGGCTGATTTACAGGAGATGATGGATGAAGGTCTAATTCATATAATCAGGCCTAGGGCAGAATATGAAGAGGAAGTTAATATGGTTTCTGAATGTCCGGGTGAATTCAGAATTTTTGAAGTAGAGCATTTGAATGAAGATCTCGTACAGTTGCATGCTACCTTTTTCCGTACTGCTGGTCAGGTGGAACACCAATATGGATCATGCGTAGTTTGTTGTCAAGACCCCCGAGGATGTTCTATTGTGATAGAGGGTGTTCAATTGCTGTTAGACAATGGAACTATGAAGGTCACAGGTCAGAGAGATGATTATCACGAGATTGATATGGTTGAAGTTTGTTTGATGGGAGAAGAGTCAGAAGAAGAATATGCCTCTGCAGATGAGTATTTCTCTTCAGACGTAGATTTGTTTACCGGATATGGTCTTTTGAGGGCTGATTGTGTTGAGGAAGGTGTAAACGTCATTGTACGTTGTTTTGGTGCACCCGCTCATCTTGAGGTAGAGTACCATAGCAAACCAGCTGTTACCCCATTGGTAATTAGTCTGCCAGGACCTGTTCCCTATAAATCAGATAAGGTTGTGCCTTACAAATGCAACGCTACAATCTTAGAAGATGGGGTGGAAGTTCCCATCCAGCCAATGCCAGACGTTGGAATTATATATGATAATAGCAGGGTGACCCATAGTGGTCGCGTGTTTGCGCCGGTTATTCGAAGAGATGTTGTTGCTGGAAAGAAAATTACTGAGAACGTTGAGCCTAAGAAGGATGCAGGAGAGGCTAGTGGAGCCACATTGGAGAATGAAGTGGATGATATCTTGAAGATAATTAAAATGAGCGACTAAAAAATTGTGGACCAGCTATTGCAGACTCCTTCAAAGATATCCATCCTAGATTTATTGATGAATTCCTCCGCTCATAGAGAATCACTGATGAGAGTACTAGACCAAGCTTTTGTAGAGAATGACATGCTGTTAGATCAATTCAGCAGCGTAATTGGAAACATTATGTCATGTAACAACTTAAGTTTCTGCGATGATGAGTTACCAGATGAAGGGAGGAATCACAACTTGTCCCTCCACATATCTATGAACTGCAAGAATGATTCGCTATCCAATGTGCTAATTGATAACGGATCCGCGTTGAATGTTATACCGATAAGTACTCTCATGAAGTTAAAGTATCAGGGAACACCTATGCGCCCGAGTGGCATCATTGTGAAGGCTTTTGATGGGTCGAGGAAATCTGTCATCGGTGAGGTGGACTTACCCATCCATATAGGACCACACTTGTTCTTGATAACTTTCCAGGTAATGGACATTATTCCCGCGTATAGTTGTTTGTTAGGACGACCATGGATACACGAAGCAGGGGCTTTCACTTTAACTCTGCATCAGAAGCTAAAATTTGTGCGTGAAGGGAAGGTAGTGATCATAAATGGGGAGCAGGCATTGTTGATATCCCGTATATCCTCTTTCAGTATTGTAGAAGCGGACGGGGCTGCTATTGGAACCCAGTTCCAAGACCTATCTATTGATAACATAAGGAAGAATGAGAATTATGTGGTTTCCCTGAAGGATGCATAGCTGGTGGTGCGCAATGGTCATAATGCAGTTTGGGATGACTTGTGGATCCACTTGTGAACAAGAACAGAACTGGCTTGGGTTTCTCTTCGAGGAATGGAGAAGGCGAAAGTTTGAAGTCAAAGTCTTTTGTGAACAGTTATCATGATGTTTTCCGTAGCGGAGGCTACCTCCATCCGATTGGTTCTGGAATTAATGTTGTTGAAGAGGATAAAGAAGAGCAGGAAGCACCGAATTATGTGACGCATGGAGTCCGAGTCAAGAATTGGGTCACCATTGATGTTCCTTCTTGCATACATGTTTCAAAGTAATTTTTTTTGTTAATCTTCTTCTTTCTTTTGAAAAGCTTTCACTCTGCCCAAGGTGGAAGTATTAATGTTGTAGGGCTTATCTGTTTGCTATAATTATTAAGATCATTAATAAAAGTTGTCTTTGCTTCCAAAATTATGTCTTTTATTTTCTGACTTTTTCTTAGGAAATGGTGATAATAAAAAAAAACCTTTCAAAATAAATAATAAGTGAAAATTAATCTGCATGATCACTTTTTATATGTGTCAGTTTCTAAAAATAGTCATAAATCATATGTGCAGATTAATTAAAAAACCCGTTGAATACATTGACCCTGCACCCTCTCCCAACTTTGATTGTCCTGTGTTTGGGGATGAAGAAGAAGATTATGATGAGATTCCAGAAGAGGTCTCACGGTTTCATGAACACGAGGAAAATACCATTCAGCCATATAAGGAGCCTTTAGAAGTGGTTAATTTGGGTTCAGAAGAAGATCTGAAGGAAGTCAAGATTGGAGCATCGTTGCATCCTGATGTAAGGAGCGGGTTGATTGAGTTGTTGAAAGAGTATGTGGATATTTTTGCTTGGTCTTATCAAGATATGCCTGGTCTAGATACAGATATTGTCGAGCATTGTTTGCCATTGAAGCCAGAGTGTCCGCCAGTTAAACAAAAGATGAGAAGAACCCACCCGGATATGGCAATAAAGATCAAAGAGGAGGTCCTAAAACAGATTAATGCTGGTTTTCTTATGACATCAGTGTATCCTCAATGGATCGCCAATATTGTCCTAGTACCGAAAAAATATGGAAAAGTCCGCATGTGCGTAGATTACAGTGATCTAAATAAAGCTAGTCCAAAAGATGATTTTCCATTGCCTCACATTGACATGTTAGTGGATAGCATAAAAAAATTCAAGGTATTCTCGTTCATGGAAGGATTTTCCAGGTATAATCAAATAAGAATGGCTCTAGAGGACATGGAAAAAACAAAGTTTATCACACCCTGGGGAACATTCTGTTACAGAGTGATACCCTTCAGGTTGAAGAACGCTGGTTCAACGTACCAGAGAGCTATGACAACCCTATTCCATGATCTGATGCACAAAGGAATCGAAGTATATGTTGATGATATGATTTCCAAATCCCAAACTGAAAAAGGGCATATAGAAGATCTGTTGAAGTTGTTTCGGCGTTTGAGGAAGTATAGTCTCCGCCTGAATCAAAATAAATGCACCTTCAGAGTTAGATCGGGGAAATTGTTGGGTTTTATTGTTAGCCAGAAAGGAATTGAAGTTGGCCCTGATAAAGTAAAAGCAATTCAAGAAATGCCAGCACCAAGAACTGAAAAGCAAGTCAGGGGTTTCCTCGGGCGTTTGAATTATATCTCCAGATTTATATCCTAAATGACTGCAACGTGTGAACCGATCTTTAAGTTGTTAAAGAAAGATCAAGGTTGTGTGTGGACAGATGACTGCCAAAGGGCATTTGAACGTATTAAAGAATATCTGCTTGAACCTCCTATCTTTCTCCCTCCCATAGAAGGAAGACCGTTGATTATGTATCTAACAGTGTTAGATAAATCCATCGGTTGTATTCTGGGACAACAGGATGAAACGGGAAAGAAAGAGTTCGCCATTTATTATCTCATCAAAAATTTCACTGATTGTGAGTCACGGTATTCTATGCTAGAAAAAACATGTTGTGCTTTGGCCTGGGCGACAAAGCGTTTGTGGCAGTATATATTGAATCATAATACTTGGTTGATCTCCAAAATGGATCCAATCAAGTATATTTTTGAAAAGCCTGATCTTACTGGGAGAATTGCTCGCTGGCAGATGTTGTTATCTGAATATGATATCGAGTACCACACTCAAAAGGCTATCAGAAGTAGTGTGTTGGCAGATTACCTTGCTCACCAGCCGGTGGAAGATCAGCAGTCTGCAGAATATGAATTCCCCGATGAAGATGTGATGTTCTTGAAAGTGAAAGATTGTGATGAACCATTGCCTGAGGAGGGCCCCGACCCTGAATCTTGTTGGAGTATGGTATTTGATGGAGCTGTGAATGGTTATGGTAAAGGAATTGGTGTTGTGATTGTTACTCCTCATGGTTCGCACATTCCTTTTACTGCAAGGTTAACATTTGATTGCACTAATAATATGGAGGAATATAAGGCTTGCATCATGGGTCTTGAAGAAGCTATTGATCTCATAATCAATATTCTAGATGTTTATGGTGATTCAGCCTTGGTAATAAATCAGATTAAAGGAGAATGGGACACTCGTCACCCTGGCTTGATCCCTTTCAAAGATTATGCTAGAAGATTACTACCCTTCTTCAATAAAGTTAAATTCTATCACATTCCTAGGGATGAAAATCAAATGGCAGATGCTCTGGCAACTCTGGCTTCCTTATACCAAGTGAATGCTTGGAATGATATACCCCAAATTACAGTTCGACGGCTAGATAGGCCCGCTCATGTGTTTGCGACAGAGGAGGTAGAAGATGAAAAACCTTGGTATTATGATATCAAGCATTTTCTTCAGACTCAGGAATACTCGTTTGGTGCGTCAAAGAAAGATAGAAAGACACTGAGAAGATTGGCAGGCAATTTTTTCCTCAGTGAAAATGTGTTATACAAGAGGAATTTTGAAATGGTCTTGCTCAGATGCGTGGGTAGACACAAAGCAGACATGTTGATGCATGAGATCCATGAAGGTTCATTTGGCATTCATGCTAATGGACATTCAATGGCTAAAAGGATGCTAAGGGCAGTTTATTATTGGTTGACAATGGAATCTGATTGTTACAAATTTTCAAAGGAGTGCCATAAATGCCAGATTTACACAGATAAGATCCATGTACCTACAACACTTCTCAATGTGATTTCCTCCTCGTGGCCTTTCTCTATGTGGGGTATTGACATGATTGGGATGATAGAACCCAAAGCTTCGAATGGACACTGTTTCATCAAATGGGTAAAGGCTGCTTCGTATGCCAATGTTACCAAGAAGGTGGTTGTGTGTTTCATCAAAAACAATCTTATATGCCGGTATGGTGTGCCGAGCAGAATCATCACTGACAATGGCTCGAATTTGAACAACAAGATAATGACTGAACTGTGCAAAGAATTCAAGATTGTCCATCACAATTCATCTCCATACAGGCCAAAGATGAATGGGGCTCTTGAAGCTGCTAATAAGAACATCAAGAGAATTATCCAGAAAATGGTTGTTACTTATAAGGATTGGCATGAAATGCTCCCTTTTGCTCTACATAGATATCAAACATCTGTCCGCACTTCAATAGGAGCAACCCCGTTTACTCTAGTGTATGGAATGGAAGCTGAACTCCCTGTCGAGGTAGATATTCCTTCGTTACGTGTGATAATGGAAGCCAAATTGATAGAGGCTAAATGGGTTTAAAACATGTTTAACCAATTGAATTTGATTGAAGAGAAGAGAATGACAGCTTTGTGTCATGGGCAGCTATATCAGAAAAGAATGAAGAAAGCATTTGACAAAAAGGTCAAACCTCGTGAATTCAGAAAAGGCGACCTCATGCTCAGGAAGATCATGTCCTTCAACACTGATTCTAGGGGCAAGTGGACTCCCAATTTTGAAGGCCCGTATGTTGTCAAGAAAGCCTTCTCTGGTGGTGCATTAATTCTTGAAACTATGGATGGCGAGGAGCTCCCACGTCCCATGAATGTTGATTCAGTCAAGAAATACTTCGCCTAAAGAAATAAAAGAACAGCTCGCTAAGTTGAAAACCCGAGAGGGCGGCTTAGGAAAAAAAGAGCGTCTCGGTAGGCCGAAAACCCAAAAGGGTGGTCTAGGAAAAAATTAAAGATATAAACAGAATAAATTTCCCGCTAAGTTGAAAACCTGCAAGGGAAGCTTAGGCAAAAGTTAGGGACTTTCTTGGGAAGTAACTACGTTCGACGAGACTTGATCGTTGAAGCAACAATCTT